CTCTATCATTACATCAGTTGATCTACTAGTAATGATAGACTCAACAGGTAGGTGACGTTCACCAATTGCATTACAAGTGCAATTCTTAGATCCTTATGGGACCCATGGCAACTAGTGACCGAGCAACTAGTGTCAAGCTGGCATGTTTAGTCCCAACCTTGCCTCGAGTCAAGGTCTCGCCCGCTTAACTCGATTAAGTCATCCAATTTTAAATCATGTAAATATAGGTTCTAGGTCTCATGCTTAGACAATAATTACCTCGAAATTACAATTCAACTCACGTCTCACGTGAATGTGAAAAGTAGAAGCGAGTGATTTCAAACTGATTGGACGGCACGACTTAAAATTGTGACGGGTATAGTTTTGATAAAAGCGTGTCAAAAAAATGTACGAAAGAAGCATGCATTCTTCATTCGTAGCATGAGTTAAAAAAACTTATTTTGCAAGTTATAATATGCAGGATATGAATAACAATGCAACATGAACAATCACACAACCATAAAATGTGCAAAACCTCAACCGATGAAAAAAAAACTATGTTTACTCTTGTGAGCCATCACGACGGACCAAGAGGGAAACTAAGGACAGACCAACATAAACCCAAATAGACTCCCACTCGCTCCAAGACAATCAAGAGCAAGTAGAATCCATATGAACATGCGAACACCAAAATTTTCTGGAAAAACCATAGAAGAAATCTTCCCCAATTGAAGCATCCATCTACAAAGTTGTGCTCCTATGTCTTATGGAACTTCAGGAAAAAGAATCACCACAATCCGAGTCGCCAAACTCCGGGAAACACAGTTTTCGTGCCGGCTGTCCAACAGTGACGAAAATTGTTTTCCTTCTTTAACTTCATCGTCATTCCATGCCGAGCAATGATTACAATTTTGAAATAAAATACATTTATTCTACTACAAAACTAAGTAAAAACAAATGCCCAAACAATGGCAACAAGTGATGATAAATGCCAAAACAAAGGCACCCAAAAACCAAAACATTCCATAAAACGACAACCAAGAGATAAAGCATACAAATGGTCAAGGTTTTCATCGGTTTTGCACATTCACATAATAATACAATATTACAAGAGTGTTGGCTTGGTCCATGGAAAAATGCATGTTTTACCATGGATCTAAAACACTTATGATAAGAAATAAAACAAGCCAACAAAACGAAGAAAAATTACAATAATTAATCTACGATTAATATATGTAACTAGTGGCTTTAAGAGTCTAAAAATACATTATTTAAAGACCTCTTGGGTCGAAAAAATTAAAAAAAAAATCAGCCTTAGGGCTGTGATTTTCGAACCAAAATGAAAAAAAAAACGAAATCGAATCTATTTTTGCCACTTTTTCATATACACGTTAATCAAAAGGCACATACGATGGCTCTGATACCATTGTTGGTGATTATAATATAAAAAAGAACATATAAAAGTATATAAAAACGCAGCGGAAATAATCATCAAAACCGGATCAACGTATCGCCAAAAGATTAAATGATAAAACAAATAACGATATACATTTTTAGCGTGATTTATAGATGAAAGACCGTGTTCACTTGCAAGGTTTTGAAACCAAGTATTCTAGAGAGAATACCTCTAGAGTAATCCACACTACACGTCCTCGATCACCACCGGATGCTAGTCCTCTTAGTAACGAACCTTCTTACACAAAGAACGAGTAAGAAGATGAAAAACCGAAAAACCCTAGGAAACCTAGGGTGGGCGCCGTATTTAGAGAGAGAGAGAGAGGAGGAAGAGGAGTTATCTTTTCATTAGGTTAATTACTATATTTATATAGGATTAACCCTAATGCTTCCTTAGGCTTTTCCTTCTAACTCTTCATGGGCTTAGGATTTAATTAATTATAATGGCTTGCCATTAACTTACTCCAATCCCAAATTAGTAAGTCATACTTAATGATTAAGTCCCATGTAAATACCCTATGTTACTAAGATAATATATATATAATGTAAATACAATAAATACATTATATTAAATGATGTCTCAGTGTATATGTGAGTGACCCTATAGGCTCACGTGTGTTTAGCCATATAATTATTTATTGTGACATGAGCATATTCCAACACATTCACCCATTGATAATGATATTCCAAACCGAATAAAATATAATTTCTCCTTTGTATGAATCGAGTTTTATCAAAATACCATCAGTTATATAAAAAATTTCATTCAAATTTGGTACTATTTTATATTTATGTATATGAAAATTGTGTAAAAATGTTTATAAATTAAATTATTTTACTTTATTTGTGTTAATTATAACTATTATACGATATATAATATCATAAAATTAATTTTGGGGCAACTTATCTAGTTCTGTCGAGTCCAATCTAGTTCTGTCATGTCGAGTCCTAGTCGACTAAACACTTGTCATGTCATGTTCTGTTCTGTGCTGTCCTCGTACCAATCTCTACCTATAGGACTTACGTTTATAAGACTAAATTTAAACATTTGATTGTCATACATAAAAATGTTGTAATAAGTTTGTAAGACTTTTTTGGACATCTTAATATGTTTTTTAGGACACATCTAAAACTAACTGTCTAGCCCTTTTATATGACACTATTTGAAAATGTGTCTTAAAATAAGTGTTCTATAAAAAGTTGTGTTTATAGGAAAATATCTTATAAAAGGGGCTAATATGACACTTTGTTTGAAAGGTACCCTAAAAGTATGGTATGACGCACAAAAAACGTCATATAAACTTGTAAGTATACTTTATACATAACATACAAGTATTTGATCTTATAAACTTAAATTCTATGAAAAAATATATTAGGAGAGTAAAACTTTTTTTTGTCCTATAAACGCATCTGTACGGGTGGTCACACACGCATAACTTTTGATACTGTCTCCGTTTCAAGCCCCATAAACAAAATTGAAGCAACAGGAATATCGGCCCTGAAAGTTGTGGTTTGGCATGTTTTGAGACACTTGTATATATATTTCTTTTTTTTTAATTTGCTCATCTTCTTTTGGGCTTTTTATGTTTGTCCCCTCATCGTCATTGTTGAACTTTCACTTAACATGTGTTGTATTGTATGAAACATTTGGATAAATAGAACATTTCTTCTCCATCCAAATTCAAGACTTCTTTAGAATTTGAATTTGAATTTGAATTTAAAGCCTAAGAGGCAGTTTATCAAACGCTTACCAAGTAACATTATCTCACCGGATGAATATAGTAAGGAACAAGAATCTTACCCGGTAAGAGTCTTACGCTGTAAGTGAGGGCGACTACTCTTACCCCGGTAAGCGCATACCGGACAAATTGTTGTATACTATATCGTTTTGGTGGACTAAAATCTTACCCAGTAAGTAGAGATGACCAAATGTTTCAGGATTGGGATCGATTTGGGACTGTCGGTTAAGGACTAATTATGATTTTCATCCAAAAACAAGGTCCGGTCCAGCCCGGGACTAGTTAGTATTTTCGATGGGATCGGGATCGGGACCGGTCCGGGTTGTTACTATTTCAACACAAGACCGATTTAGGCCCAACCCAGGACAGGACCGGTTTTTGGCCACGTCTACCGGTAAGTACATAATAGTGTTAAATTTTACCGATAAACTTAACACTTACCGGATAAGTATTTGATAAACGGACTTGGTATTTGTAGAAGCTAACAAGTTTTAGGAGAGATTATTCCTAGGTATAAGTTCAATCTTTACATCTGATTATCCTACGTTACATCAATATGTGACATTGACCCCTTTTCATTATGTGAGCAACATTAAGAAATATTTTTGGCCCCTCTTAGTTTCGGTGCCGTTTCCATCAGAATTTCGACAGTTAGGATCATCAATGCTTGTATGTGGACACAATGTACTACAAGATAAGGTTTCATACACGGTTGTTTTGTGCACAGTTTTGCAATCGTCTATAAGGCTACTACTGTGTATGAAAGCAATGGTCTTTATACATGGTTCCAAAACCGTGTACAAAACAAACCTTCTTTCACCGTTCCATAAATGTGTAAAATACCCACCGTATATGAAAGTATCTATCTTACACGAATTTGAGACACAACTGTGTACAAATTAACGAGGCGTATATATATGAAAGTCATATATGTAATAGTACGTGATGAAAATTCTAATTATATAATCAATACAATTATGGTTTAAATAAAACAAATATTTGTTAATAAATATAATCTCTTTATTAATAAAGATTAAAACTTTATTATTAAATATTAATATCTAGAATAATATATATTATACTGCACGTAACAAGAACTAGGATGAATACCACACCAATTGATTCTATCCTCCACAATAGATAGATTCGATACAAAAAGGATAGAAGCAGATTGTTCAAAAAGTGAACCAAATTAAATACAATACAATACTGAATAATAATAAAACCAACCTAGAAAGTGTAGAAGAACTTGAAGCAAACTGCATGGATAAAATAATCTTGTCTTTAATGTTGTGAGTCTAACAATTGCATAGCCCTAATTAAATACTAACATCAATAGCTAGATCGATGGTAGGAATTTCTAAGAGACAGTAGGCAATGACACAAAGAAAGAGAATAGATTTCGATAGTTGTTTTGGTGTTTTTGGATCCAACTGAAATATTATCTCTAAAATTAAATAAAACAACAGGTTAACCATCGACAATTAAAGTAAAGCTGCTCATTATCAATTACTGATTAAATAACTCTTTTAATTTATTAGTAATTATCAGTTTTCTTCTTAAAATAATCTATAAAAATAAAGCTCCGGAGCTCCAGATGCATTGTACGTGCGCCCCCTCGCTCCTCTCCACGAATCCCGCCCTTGTCTTCGGCCTCGGCCACAAGCATTGATTATTAATAGATATATATATATATATATACCTAAAAATGTAGACATAATTGCTTTCCTGTCTTTGTTTGTTACTTATGGGCGCCATATATTAAAGTTAGAGGTAGCTATTAATTAAGAATACAATTAACTACATACACACTAATTCATATCTAAACTAGTGATTACTTTTCGTAAATAATCCAAAAACTTTCCTCAGAAAAGATCCGTTTTTGGGTGTTGGGGATGCTCCTTGTGATGGTGGCTGTGCTGGGCTTGCATATGGTGCACTTATCTCACTCTCAGCCATGCTGCTAGGACCTTCAGCTGGTGCTTTTTGCTTATCTGAAGATTCATCCTTCTCTTTCTTTGGTTTCTTCTTTTTCTTTGGCTTCTTTTGCTTCTTTTCCTTCTCTGGAGTGGGAGTATAGTCTCTATCCTCTTCGTTAGATTTCTTACTGTAATCGTTCTTCGGATCATCTTTCGGGGGTTCATAGATGAAATCTGAGGTATAAGGAACACCTGTTGGTGGGATCCATGAGTCACCCGTGATGAATTTTCCAGGCGTAAAGCGTTTGATTCGACTCGCTGGTAGTTCTTTCACCCCAGGCCATTGTACACGCTCTAACTTGGAAGATCCTGGGCCATGGTTATTGAATTCAGTGTAAAAAAGGGTATCGAAAGCGAAAGTTTGGTTCCATTGCAACCACCCTTGAGGCTGAATCAAATCATCGATGAAGGATTCCATGATGATTGTTCTTGAATACTGCTTCCATGGCCGTCCAAGGTACGATTTGATTTCCTTCCTCACCGGAAAGTATACTGGATCTGCCACAATGCTGCAATTCTGGAGGACGATTCCTGTTGGCTGTCGGTTTTCCTTTCGGCCTTGTGCTGTAACAATGCAATTCTGGTTGTCCATTGGCTTTCGAACAACCATGATGCAGTTTTGGAACACCACTGCACTGTCCCCAAAAAGGAAATCAATGGTGCCCGAGATGGTGCAGTCACGATAGAACTGGCGATACGTGTGCACGTAAAGGGTGTCTTGATAACCGTCCATGTGGCAGTTGTAGAAGATCGCTCTGTCTGCACTAACGCGCAACGCTACGGCCTGGTGCTTTTCGGGACCGGCTGTGTTCTCGAACCCAATGTCCCTCGCAATGAAAAAGTCTCCAGAAACAGCTGCATGAATCATCTGTACCGAGTTAATTACCTATCTAACAAGATACACTACAACAAAATTAGTTTTACAAGACAAAATAATATCTAAACAGAATGTTTTATAGAACTTAAATTAATATATAAAATTAAACAATTATGCGTTATGTGTAAAAGTATTACAATGAATACGATGTTAGGATGTATTGGGCATCCTAATCAGTTATTTAGTAGCCTTATTAGCTTTTTTATATGACACTTGTTTTTTAAAAGTTTCAAATAATGGACTAATATGAAGTTTATTTCAAAATTGTTCTAAAAACATGTTTTGATACCCAAAATCGTCCTACCAACTTATTATAACACATTTAAATAAGACACACGATTGCATGATTCTATAGATTTCGGTCCACTGTCTATTACGACACTTCACTACAACAAAATCAGATTTATACAACATTTAGAATGTTCAAGTGTCCTAATAGAGTGACTTATAGACTTTATACGACCAAAATATAAAACGTCTTATCTAAAGTGTTACAATATGTTTATATGACGCATGTACGCGTCATAACAAAACTTTTTGAACTTTAAAAAAAAGTGTCATATTAACTATTTTTTAGGACAATTCATGCCCTATAAACTCATCTTTTTATATTACTGTTATGTTATGTTATGTTTATAGGACAAGTTTTCAAATAGTATTATATAAAATAATTAATAAAATACTTTATTTTAAAAAAGTCCTAAAAACACATACTCTTGTTCAGACATTTTAAACATGCTAGTGAGTTTTGTTGTATTATTGTTAGTGGTATGTTTGAGTTTCTACTCCCTTGTATGGATATTGCTTACCAACAGTTGCAGTATGGTAGGTGGTAACTCCATCAATGAAGTTCAAGTTTCCAGTGATCCTTGTCTTACTGGGTCCATCACCAATTATCATTATATGAGTCAAGTTTTTAGGGAACTGGACTATCTCTTTGTAAATTCCCTCTTTAATGTACATCACATACCTCTCCTTCCCCCTAACAGGAATGAATTTCAAAGCTTCGTTTATCGACTCAAAATCTCCACTCCCATCTTGTGCAACCGTAAGGTCTCGATCGATCTTCATCGACGTTTTCTCCAACACATTTTCATCTGTAGCATCTACCCATTCGGGAATATTGTAATCGGTGCTGAATAAGGTTAGCAGACGACGATTTGTAGTCTGGGGTACAGCAACTTCTTGAAGAGCCTGTGAGATATCTGTAGTCATGGCAAGGCAGTTGCTTGTTAACTCCATGGATTTCTTCAAAGCTTTCTTCATTTTCTCTCCTGCGTTTCCTTGTGTCTTTTCAAACCCATCTAGGCAAGTTTGTTCGTAAGTTATCGCACCACTCATCCATATCTTCAATTCGACAAGAGCTTGGCCAAACTCATTGAGACTGAAACCGCTCATTTTGTCGAAAGCTCTCCTCAAATCCATAACAGCAAGGCCTGCAAGCTCCTTGCAACCCTTGAGAGCATCATTGGTTCTTGGGTCTCTATGGATCTCGTTCATAAACGAAGAGTTTTTCACCGCAGCATCAAGCTGCTTAATCGTGATCTCAAACATGGTCTTTATGTGGTCATAAGGATTGGTCGACTTCGTGGAGGCTCCTGAGAGGCTTTCAACGCAAGTACGCTTGTAATCTGTGTTCTCGCAAACGGCTTTGATTGAAGCCTTTACGTCCTCATCAAGTTTCGTGCTTTCAGGCTTCTCTTCCGAATATTTGTTGACTGTTACGATCAACCCAATCACCATGGCCACAAGCACCACGAAAGAGAGGCTCAATATGGCAAGTTTCATCATGTTCTTCCCCGCCATGATCTTTAATCCATGCCCCTTCCAAAATACATAAAAAAATGTCTGTTGTTTTTCTTTTCCTTGTATCTATGCTACATCCCCTAAAATCAATCTAAATTAACTTGTGTTTTTCTGATATTAAAAGAAATGTTGATGATCGAGAGAGGGCCTAAAATGGAGGATCGACCCTCCCCCTGTTGAATCTACGAGACAAAGGCCCCCCTTACACACAAACTAAAGTTTAAGGAGATCTTTAATTTCTGGTGTAAAGGCAAGGGCAAAATAATGATAGGATGAGAGATGTTTATAGGGTTGGTGATATTTTCAGCTATAGAAGATGAGGTTTGGAGGAAAACAAGAGCTTTGAGTTTCTATTCTAAAAAGAGAGAACCAGGAGAATTCAAATTTAGGTGTCCCCCCCCCC